GCAAGGACCCTACTTCCAAACAAGGTTGTATTCTGAAGTTCCAGGTGGACATGAATTCAATCTACGATGGCATTCAACCATGAAAGGTAAACATAGAAATTGCTGCCTCTGCTATAGGTCTGTTATTTTCCCTCTTGCTTAAAAACACAGAGAAGACACACAAAGAGTGTAATGCAAATTATGTTTCTAATTTCTGGTTAGTAATAAAAGTGACACTGATAGTTATAAAATTCTTGAGGGTTTTGGGATCTGAGTCTCCAAGAAGGAGCAGTTTTAATGTTAGAAAATTATCCTTGGCATGACCAAGCAACTATCTATTTGGTCTCCAATAATCCTGAAGATGACAGACCCACAATTAAACCTTCCATGTAGTCTGGGATGATTCTCCCGTCAGCCTCAGCCAATGGGGTGCCAAGGAATTCTGCACTGGAAGGGACCTACCTCCGCTGAGTTAAACTGCTGCTCATTGGTGAACGTGCTGAGAAGATGGGATGTTGCAGTTATCTGCCGACAGATGAAGAGACTGCCTGCATGGTCTAGTTGTCGGGTTTCCAGAACGCCCTTGTGCCATCTCCAAACCATGAAATGTTCCCCAGTCAGCACTCCCAGGCAAGTAGCCCTGGGAGAGCTAACACTTTAACTGGTGGTCAAATCTTTATGGATCTATTTCAAGAACGGCTCTGGGCCGGGTGTGGTGGCTCACACCTGTAATCCCAGCACCCTGGGAGGCTGAGGTGGGCAGATCACCTGAGGTCAGGAGTTCGAGACTTGCCTGACCAACATGGTGAAACCATCTCTACTAAAAACACAAAAATTAGCCAGATGTGGTGGTGGGTGCCTGTAATCCCAGCTACTCAGGAGGCTGAGGCAGGAGAATCACTTGAACCTGGGAGGCAGAGGTTACAGTGAGCCGAGATTGTGCCACTGCATTCCAGTGTGGGCGACAAGAGCAAAACTCCATCTAAAACAAAACAAAACAAAACAGAAAAGAAAAGAAAAAGGGGGCCAGGCACGGTGGCTCACGCCTGTAATCCCAGCACTTTGGGAGGCTGAGATGGGCGGATCACGAGGTCAGGAGATCAAGACCATCCTGGCTAACATAGTGAAACCCCGTCTCTACTAAAAATACAAAAATTAGCCGGGCGCGGTGGCGGGCGCCTGTAGTCCCAGCTACATGGGAGGCTGAGGCAGGAGAATGGCATGAACCCAGGAGGTGGAGCTTGCAGTGAGTAGAGATCATGCCACTGCACTCCAGCTTGGGCAACAGAGCAAGACTCCGTCTCAAAATTTAAAAAAAAAAAAAAAAAAAAGAAAAGAAAAAGGGTTCTGGAAGGAGATTTGGATAAGAGGTTAGAGGAAGTCCCCTTCCTGTATGGTTTCGGTTAGTGGGGAATAGTGAGTATCAGTATCAGTGCATTATCTACAAAACAGAAGAGATGATCATGAGGAACCTGCTCAAATCCAGCCCCATCTTCCTAGTTCAGTGAAGTGACAAGACATGGTAATTTCATTTACACATTCAACTGTACACTCCAGCAAAAGAAAGGGAGAGAGGGAAAGTAGTATGGAATATGGAGAGACAGAGACAGAGACAGGGATTGATGTAGAAGTAAAGAGTGTGTTTACGGTGAAGGGAGAGGGAAGGAGGAGGAGAAGAGAAGAAGAGGATGATGATAAGGAGGATGGGGATGAGGGGGAGAAAGAAAGGAGAGAAAAACAGAGAGAATTCAAATAGTATGGGTGTCTGCCCACCATTCTCCTGGATGGGCTAATACTATACAGGGGCAAGACCTCACTGATCTGTCCCCCTGGGCTATTTTGGGTCCCAAGCCTGTCCTAGTGTGAGCCTCTCACATAGCTGAGTGTGATACTAGCGTCTTGAGGTTTTTATTTTCATGCAGCCTGACCCCAACAAGGCAGCCCTTCCTCCAGTGCCCATCTGAAGGGTGGTCTCTTCAGCTGCTTGTGGAAAATGAGTTCTGCTAAATGTACTGAGATTTTAAAATGTATTGTTAAATGTATTGAGATTATCAAGGGCAATATAAGTATATAAAATTTTCACCTGACCATTCTACTCCAATCCAGAAAGTACAACTAAATGGTCCAACAAGATCTAATAAATAACTAGATATTTTATGACCAGAGATAGTTACCCCTCAAATGTCTGGGGTAGGAACTCAGCCTCCTATTACTATTTTTCCAAAGAAGAAAAAATAATGATGTTAGAGGAAATACATCATTGTGCAAAGACTGGAAAATATAGCTAAGCAAAAACAAAATAAGAAACATGCACGCATATGTTTATTGCAGCGCTATTTACATAGCAAATACTCAGAACCATCCCAAATGCCCATCAAGGATAGACTGGATAAAGAAAATGTGGCACCTATACAATATGGAATACTATGCAGCCATAAAAAAGAATGAGTTCATGTCCTTTGCAGGGACATGGATGAAGCTAGAAGCCATCATTCTCAGTAAACTAACACAGGAACAGAAAACCAAACACCGCATGTTCTCACTCATAAGTGGTTGCTGAACAATGAGAACACATGGACACAGGGAAGGGAACATCACACACAGGGGCCTGTTGTGGGGTTGGGGGCAAGGGGAGAGAGAGCATTAGGCCAAATACCTAATGCATGTGCGGCTTAAAACCTAGATGATGCAGCAAACCCCACGGCACATGTATACCTATGTAACAAACCTGCGCGTTCTGCACATGTACCCCAGAACTTAAAGCAAAATAAAGTAAGAAAAAATACTAGCATTTTTATCCTCCTGGAAAAAAATAACCACAATTGACATTTTGGTGTGTATTCTCACAGTTTGTTTGCCTCACCTCTGTGTGTGTGCATGTGTTGTTTTGTATAAACATGTAATCCGGCTGTGTGTGGTAGGTTGGGCCTTGCTTCACTCACTTGGCAAAATATTAGGGACGTTTTTGACATCTGCAAGCATAGACCTATACTATCAAAGGAAGGCCAGGGAAGGCCTTGCCCAGAGCTCATTCTTTGGCCAATGCCAAAGCTCTTTGTAGAGACTGAGCTGTTTGGCTGAAGCTTGAGGTGGGGGTCACAGGAACTGCTGTGCAGGCACCAGGATACCTGGGGAGTGAGGTCCAGAGCAGAAGCAGCATCAGGCTGGGAGATCCTTCCAGTCCCTGACGGAGCTTGCCTCAGTGCAGACAAAGCTTTCCTGGACAGCTGCGGGATTCCTCCAAAACAGTACTGCTGTCATTCTACCAAGTCAAGGAGGTACTTGACTCAGAAGGATGCTCATAAATGGTTTCCAGTATGTTTTGCAGTCTTCTATTTAAATTTTTTGGTTAAAGCCACTAATTGAATCAAATGAAAACTCATTCTGCTAAACAGATAATAAGGAAATATTTAGATGTCTTTTGCGTAAACATGTTGAAATAATGTCAAAGGCAACACACAGGATTCATTTAACTTTATCTGCAACGTGAGCTCAACTGGGGAGGATATGCCCCTGCCTTTCTATTCATGACTATTGCCTATTAACCTCCAGAGGTTTTGTGTGAGCTACTGTGTTTAACCTAACTCTCCAAAAATAAAGGGATGGTGATTTTCTTTAAATTGGTACTTACATACTGGAATCTCTCAGGCATTAGTGCTTACTTGATTGCATTCAGACATTACTTTGGCAAGGAAATGACTGCATTAAATTAGCATCAAGCACAATGAATGGTAATTGCAAGACTGTCATTTCTACAAGTGCAAAATTAATGTGTTTTGCAAGCCCGTTCCATTGTGTGCCACAGGAAAATCATGGAACCATGTTGTTCTGAACAGAAAAATGCACTGTAATAGCGCTGTTAGTGTGGTATGGTATTATTCCGCTATAGTGTTCCTTTCCACCTTTGTTGTTGTCTCATGCTCATTTTTCATACCCTGTCTGGCCTAATTTGTATGCTCATATTATAGCGCTGCCAGACAGTAGCCTGGATGTACAGAGAATGTTATGGAACAATTCCTCCTTCTGTGTGTGGCATCTTGCGTGAATAATGTCAGTGTAAACAACCCTCCATGTATTCATCAGAGTCTGAATAGGCTACTTATGTAAAGCTTCTTATTAAGAGATACATCAACCGTTCAAAGAAAACTTTACCCAAATGCTATACATTCATTTAGAAAGAGAAGAGTGATTTACACGCATTTCAATTGTAGCTTAGGAAAAGCACCAGCTCCTCCTCTCTTCATCCCTCATTTATATATGGGAAATTAAGCTACAGCGCAGTTGAGTAAATTTCTTCTTCTGGTCATGCAGGATCACAGGGTATAGTTCAAATGATAACATGCATATGCATTGGGGCTTTTGTACTCTGCTCATTGATTGGCTCTGCGGGGATTAAAGGAATTATTCAAGACTAAAAGAACCAAGTAATAACAGATGCTCTAAGCTGACCAATTAGATGTGGTTTTTCAATATTTCTGCCGTTTAGCTTAGGCTGAGAGCCATTCAAAGGCATCCTGAGTAAGAGTGATAATAATGATGTTAATGACTGACCAGAGGAGCTTTCTGGTGAGTATAGCTTGATAGTCTCTTAGCAACTGCAGGGGGTGGGGGCATCAAGACCACTGGGGTGCACTGGCTGATTCACTACAGCAGTTGACTGATCAATTGATCTATTGGAGATCCTAACATGGGAGGGTCAGTCCTGAGTCCCCTTTTGGAGTCCACCTATTTTGACCCTCACCATAAAGATGTATTGAGGCTGTCTTTGTAGTGTTTCAGGCAGTGAATAATTTGCTGGAATCTGGAAGAAATTCTGCACCGTACACAAAGCTTCTCTCATCTTATCAAACAAAAATGATTAGGAAATGATTTTGGTTGGAAACTTCCTGCCTGAGAGAAAAATTCTGATCATCTTAACCTCAGAATAAGGCACACTTGTTCACATATGAAAAATCACTAAATAGATGATTTGGGCTTAAAAAGATGCACAAAAGTGGCTCTGGAAATGGGTTCTGCCTTACCTTTGTTGCAAAATGTTCCATCATACGCAGTATTAGAGCAATCGCAGGAGTAACCGTGGTATCTCTCTAGGCATTTGCCTCCGTTTTCACAGTTTGTTCCATAGCTGGTGCAATGGCCTGAGCATCCGGATATGAACCCAGATGTGACCTTTGCTCTTTCCTCCAGGTCAAGTGTCACCCCATTCATCCTCAAGGAGCGGATGCAGCCCAGGAAGCCCTGCTGGCCCCCAGCACCACCTGGGAATGACAGAAGGCACAGAGTTCAGAGGGAATAACCTTTGCTATTGCTTAATTCTTCACATTTTGAACAACTGTGGTAGGAGATGAGACTGCATAGTGCATCTAGTATTGCCACTTTCAAGTTGGTCTTATCTAAATAGAGAAAATTGAAGCTTTTCTCCCCTTAGGCTAGAATGCCTAATTAAAAGAGCTGTCTTCTAAGAAGCAACACATTTGCTACAGAAATAAAATATTTGGAGATGCACAAAAATTGTATCAGCTGTTTTGGAAGTCTAATCTGGTTTCCTATAGAAAAAGGGTTTACAGAAATCTCTAGATTCTTTGCTCTTTAATCTCACATCATTGAGTTCTGTAGCGTTACTTACTGAAAAAATATAAAGGCAGAGACATGAATGTATTAGCATAGTTAACAAGTCAATTCGTTGGAAGGCATAAATTCGTTTGAAATGTGATTGTAGATCCTGGTTCTTGTCTCAAGAGATGCCTTGCTTTTAAGTTCATGTCAAGACTACCCAGGGCTCCTTGTCTCGGGTAGCTAGAAGTTGGAACTGATAACTTTACACAGAAATCAGCTTTACCACATTTACTGCTAGGTTAGATCGGATTTCATTGCTTCTGTCTAAATGTCATTACAAGACATATAGCGCAACAAGCACTTTCACTGTGATTTTTGGAGTAAGTTATAGAGTTAGACTGAGGTTCATGAGCATGAAAATATTAAAATATTCCCAAGAAATCTCATAGAAAGATTCATTGAAGCATTCTATCACAAATGGATTTAATTGTGTCTGTAGTATTCTTAGCTATATATATTTTAAAGCAGCTGGTATAAAAGGAGGAACTCAAATTTATATACATGTTTGTATCTTAGAATAACAACTTTTCTGGAAACGAAAATGAATCATAGGAAAAACTGTTGAAAGAAATAGGTGATGAGGATTTAGAAAAGAAGATACCATTACTAAAAATAAAACCCAAGTTTCTCTTTCATTGAGGGCTACATACTAGGCACTCTATTAAGCAACGACTTATCAAAGGAGATATTATTTACATTATTCCCATTGTACAGATGGAGAAACTGAGGCTTAGAGAAGTTAAGAAGTTTACTCAAGGACTCATAGTTCCTGAGTGGCAACTGTATCAGATCTGTCTTATTCCTAAGGCAACAAACAGGGTTTATTGTCTTCAACCCTGTTCTGTCGAGAAGAACTTTCAAGTCAGGGGCCTCATAGATGTACATGTTTCTGAGATGTAGATTTGGATGTCTTTAAAAATGGAGTAATCAGGCCCGGTGCGGTGGCTCAGGCCTGTAATCCCAGCACTTTGGGAGGCCGAGGTGGGCGGATCACGAGGTCAGGAGATCGAGACCATACTGGCTAACGCGGTGAAACCCCGTCTCTACTAAAAATACAAAAAAAATTAGCCAGGCGTGGTGGCTGGCGCCTGTAGTCCCAGCTACTCGGGAGGCTGAGGCAGGAGAATGGCGTGAACCCGGGAGGCGGAGCTTGCAGTGAGCCGAGATCGCGCAACTGCACTCCAGCCTGGGCGACAGAGCGAGACTCAGTCTCAGAAAAAAAAAAAAAAAAAAAGGAGTAATCAGTAGGGTTACTGGAATTCAGGTAAGATCGGTAGGCTGGGGATTGATTCTGATCACTTACTCTATTATCTTAAGAAAAGTCATAAACTCCAGTAGTTTCATCAGACAGGACTGGAAGACCAAAGGCTTTAGTGGCAGAGATGAATTAGCATCTGCTTAAGCCTGTAAACCCTCATCAGTGAAGTGGCAAATGAGTTGCTCTACCATCTCTGTAAACCAAAGTCTTGCAGTTTTCTCACTGGGTGACACATTGATTTGAATCATGACTCTCTTCTCTCTTGGGAGTATTTGATTTCTTCTAAAATATTTGAATAGAGAAGTGAAGAGAGTTCAGTGCCTTTTTTGATCCAAGCTATGAGATAGTAGATGGCAAAAGAAGTTATTAAAAACAACTACATTGAAGGATTTCCCATTTTGCCATCTGCTTGTCAATGGGGCTTCACACCTCTACGCTGAAGAGAATTAGGGCCTTTGCCTGATTTGGAAGAATTTCAACCCACTAGTTACTCTTTGTGTGTTAGAATTTCAATTTGGCTTCTATTATTTTAGCCATTATGGCTTTCATCCTTGCAATAAGGGCTTTCCAAAAGGCATTTTATTAAATAAATGTCTGGCCTTAAAAATTTTTCATCACTAGTCAATTAAGACAATTATATCCTATCAAAATATGCTAAAATGTAAAAATCATTTTTAGATCTCCCCATCTCTTTTTGCCTGATGATCAATGTAATAGTCATTGTGGCAACCATAAATGTACTGAGAAGCAGAATACAAAACAGATTCTGTTAGGCTACTCAGATTTAACTATTTTCTCTTTTAGGGAACAGCCTGTTTTACTTTTTTTCTATGAACATACATATGTGTAAATAAAAAGGAAGAAATGGGATCATAATATACACATTGTTTTGAAACTTGCTTTTTGCACCTAACATATCATGAAACTTTTTTTTGTGTGTGTGTGAGACGGAGTCTCGCTCTGTTGCCAGGCTGGAGTGCAGTGGCGCGATCTCGGCTGACTGCAACTTCCGCCTCCCGGGTTCAAGCCATTCTCCTGCCTCAGCCTCCCAAGTAGCTGGGATTAAAGGCGCGCGCTACCACGCTCAGCTAATTTTTGTAGTTTTAGTCGATGGGGTTTCACCATGCTGATCAGGCTGATCTCGTACTCCTGATCTTGTGATACCCCCACCTCCGCCTCCCAAAGTGCTGGGGTTAGGGGTGTGAGCCACCGCACCTGGCCTTTGAAACATTTTCCAAGCAATAAACGTACAACTAGAACATCTTGCTTAGTATTTGCATAGCATCCCATTCTGTGAATGCACGATCACTTATTTTGCTCTCGCACCACCATTGGACTTTTAAGTTTTTAAAATTTTCCACCTTATGATACTATAATAATATAACCTTTATGAAAATCTTTACACGCTTGTCATCCAGTTTTTCCTTAGAACTGATTCTTTAGAATTAGTTAATCACACTTTTAAGTCTAATTGCTAGGATGAAAGATGTATACATTTTAAAGGTACTTGAAATATATTTTATTGTAAGAAGAATTTACCAATTTCTAATTCACCAGTAGGGTATGAGATTATCACCTCCTCCACACTATTTTAATATTGGTCAGTGTCTTTTTGTATTCATGTCAGCCTGCTTGACGGGGGCAAAAAGCGTTCACTGTTTAAATCTGCATTGCCTCGAATACTGTGAGTTGAGTAATTTTAATGTTTTCCCTTTTCTTATTTTTTGTAGCTTTGTGTCCTTCACTTTTTGCTGGGAATAGAAGAGAATATATTTCTTATTGATTAATAACAATATGAGTTTTAACTCTTTGTTATAAATAACTCTTTATTGCAACTGTATCTTTCCAGTTTGTGTCTTTTGACTTCTGTATGGTGTTTCTTTTTTTATGAAAGTTTTGAATGTTTTTGTAGTCACACCCACCTGTTTTATTTGTGTGATTTCTGCCTTTGGTCAGAGGCTTACTTATAAAGACCTTCTATAATACAAAATAATGTAATTATTCAACTACGTTTTCTTCTAACATTTTTGTGATTTTGCTTCTCTCCACATGTTAACCTTTTGTCTCTCTGGGATGTATTTTAATTTGGAAACAATTGGTATTTCATGGATCTTCAGCAATGACTGAAAGTTTGAAAAGACTCTGAATGTTAACACGATGAAGAATGGAGATATTTTTCAAAGGGTCAATTGGCAGAGCAAATAAATCTAGAGTATATCATATTTTTATTATATCATTAAGGCAGATATTCAGATCTATTCAGGGATACTTAATTATTTATGTATATAGAGTTCATTTCAGAAAGGATTTAGCAGGGCAGAGTTTTCTCATTCTGCTTCTGTCTTGATTCTTGGGTCTTTGGTCGTCTTGGGTTCTACGTGGATCCATCTCTCTTCCTGTTCTTGTGTTTGTGCATCTTTCCTTCTCAGGTTCATCAACTGTTTCTACTCAGTTGTGTGGCTTTCATCAAATTACATAATCTCTCTCAGTACCAGTTTCCCCGTCCACAAAAAAGGAGGCTCAACTAGATGGTGTTTCTGACTCCTTCCAGCTCTGAATTGCTCTGGCTCACAGTTTACAAGCTCTCTCTCTGGGCCTGTGTCTTTTTTTCTGAATTTCAGTAAATCCTCTCAAGTGCTCTTAAATCTCTTCCTTGCTTGCTTTTTCTTTCTTTGTACCAATGTCTGACTTTTTTTTATTTCTCCCTCTTTTAACTGGGTGTAACATATGACTGTAGTCTAATCTGTATTTGTTGTGTTCGTTAAATAAAGCTTTGCTCATGCCTGTAATCCCAGCACTTTGGGAGGCCGAGGCGGGCGGATCACCTGAGGTCAGGAGTTTGAGACCAGCCTAGCCAACACGGTGAAACCCTGTCTCTACTGAAAATACAAAATTAGCCGGGGGTGGTGGCACACGCCTGTAATCCCAGCTACTTGGGAGGCTGAGGCAGGAGAATTGCATGAACCCAGGAGGCGGAGGTTGCAGTGAGCTGAGATCTTGCCATTGCACTCCAGCCTGGGCAAAAAAGAGAGAAACTCTTTCTCAAAATAAATAAATAAATAAATAAATAAATAAATAAAGTTTTGTACTCCCTCTTCATAATTTATAAAGCGGGTGAGTGAAGTGCCATTTCTCTCTCTATAAAGGAAAACTAAATAAATTAAGGTATTTTCTTGCTTAGGTAGTCCCTGATTTATTTAAATGGGACAGTGAACCAGAAAGTACTATTCCTGATCTAGTCGATATGAAGAAAAATCTTCTGTCCTGAAAATGGGCATTATATATTATGTAAAAGACATTAATGCACTAGAACCAGTGAAAATTATTTGAGTTCCACTTATGTGCTCTGTAGAAATAGTTCTTGGTGACAAATGTCGTAAGTTT